TGGAGGGAAGGGTGCGTGAAGCAAGAATGGAATGTGACTCTCACTAAGTGCTCAGTAAATGCCAAGCACGTGTGCTGAAGGTTCAAGAAGCACTGTAGGAAATGAGTTTGGAGCAGTTGACATAGACTACAAAGTGTGACCAGAGAGGACTTTGCAATGCAGAACACTGGTTCTGATAAGCCAAGCAGTAGTTCACCTAAGAGACCAGTTTGCGCCAGGGCTCCCTACCAGCTCTTCCCTCTGTTCCCTCTGATCAAGCAGCTCGGAAACAAAGAGCAGAGGACAGGAGGGTCAGTCTTACTCTGGAGTCTTATTGAGGTAACCTGAGTGTAGGAACCACTGATGAGAATAAATTGTAATTCCTTAACTACAGCCTATCCCCACCCCTGCCCACCTTGGCTTGGAAAGCTTAAACCTGCTCATTGTAAGCCATAAGGTGGAGATGTCTGGCAGAGCAGAACTGACAGGAAGTCATTTCACCAGCCTAAGGTTACCATTAACACTCTGAGCCACTGCCTTGAGCTAATTCTTGTTTGTTTTCGAAGTTTGGTTGAAATGTCACAAATGGAAAATTTAAGTAAAGCACCCAGTTAGCCCCAAGCCTGGACACACCTGGTGCAAATCCAGCAAAAGAAACTTACTTCATTAGTAGGAGAGGCAGAGTGAAATTTACATCTGAAAGCTGCCTGCAGCCGGAGAAAGTACTGAGGCCAAAGGGCTGTCTGTTTTTACAGCTGTGTCAAGTCCTGGTTCTCACTCCTACCAACACTCAGGAGCGAGGCAAGGGCCAAGGAAAAATGGTCTCCAGCTCTTCAGCTGCAACCCGGCTCACAAAGGTTTTTAAGACCCAGTTAATGAAATAAAACAAGACCAGATGAGGTGATATAATGAACTTTATTTCCACAGCTAATTTATATGTTTAAATCCCAAATATTGAAATATTGGTGGGTTTTTTTTCCTTTTAAAAAGTCAGAACACTAAATTATCGATGTGATTTTTGTAACCTCAAATTTAGCAGTTGCTTTTTGCACTGGCTTCACCAATGACACATGAGTCTGAGCCATGTGCCACCACAGCTGGGCTTCTTAGAAGCCGATGAAAAGCAAAGTTTCCCCTCTTATGAGACCAGAACTCGAATACCAAATGAGTTCTTGATTGGAATTCGGGTTTCAAAGGAATTGTTGATTAAAATTTCTGACTCGTCATCAGTTTGCAAGAGGCGCTTTTGCTCTTGATCTCTGCCACACGCATCCACTCAAAGTAATGGCTTCTAAGAATTCTTTGGCATGAGAAAAACCGCACCATTGACTGGCTTTGTAAGTTTTACTTTCTTCTATGACTTTTCTTACAGAGGTATACCTGGAACGCCAAATAACACAGAAAGATTTGCAAATTACCACCTTCAAATCTGGAGTTTTTCAAAGCTGAAAAGAAACTCGGCAGCCATGTAGTCAGCACCTTGGACCTGCTTCTGTGTCCTCTAGAGCACAGGAAGTCAAGACTTGTCCACTGTGGGAGAACCAGGCCAGACTCTATTCATTCCACCTACTGATTTCAAAGTCACATGTCCCCCTGCTGTGGGCTGTACACTAACACTGAAAGCCCCTCTACCTGCACACTCTAGTATACATCTGTCTTCCTATAGAAAAGGTGCCTGTTTATACCATCAAGTTAGAAAGGGGGAGTATCAAATATAATAAAGCCAAGAACAGTAATTACCCAATTCTTCTAAATTTGTATTTTTAAAACACCGTCTTCCATTTGTAGTTTTTGTCACTAAGCCAGAGCTTGGGCATTTCTCTTCATGAAGATAATTTAGAAGCCTAGGGGAAATCACTAACATCTTGCTATTTTAAAGTATGGTTGTCACCTCCCACACCCCTATTAACACAGGCAAAACCTGGAAGCTTCTCAGAAGAGTGGACACTCTAAACTGGGTGTGATGGTGAATACCTGAAATCCCAGCCCTTGGGACATGTGAGCAAAAGGACAACCAGAGATACAAGGTCATCCTTAGCTATTCAGTGAGTTCAAGGTTCAGGGTGGGTTACATGAGATCCTGTAGCAGAGAGACAGAGGAGAGAAAACAGTCTCAGGACTGAGGATATGGCTCAGCTGGTGCAGTGCTGGGTTCACTCCCAGCACAGCATAAAAGGGGATGGAGGTGCCCCCTACAATCTCAGCATTGGGGAGTGGAGGCAAGAGGATCAGAAGTTTAAGGTCATCCTGGGTTACATAGTGAGTTCAAGGCCTGCCTGGGCTACTCTGTTAAAGAGAGACAGAGAGAACAAGACAGAGAGAAAGGAGAGAAGAAAGAAAGGGAAGGGAGGGAGAGCAGATTCCCTGGCCTTTGTCAGAGACTTACTGAATCACATCTGTGCCTTACCAGGGTCACCGAATGAACTGGAGGTGCACTAAAGGCAGGAACACTATGCTGCCCTATAGGATGGCACACTGTCTAGGAACAATCCGAATGGACAAAAGAGGAGAAAAAAATTAAAAAGACCCCTGCAGGACTGTACAGAAAGGAATGAGTCAAGTACCATTAATCTAATGTTACCTTAAAACAGGGTATATTAGCATCATGGTGCACACCTTTAATCCCAGGACTTGGGAGGCAACACAGGTATATCTCTGTAAATAAGAGACCAGCCTCGTCTACATAGTAAGTTCTAGGCCAGCCAGAGCTAACTATTCTGTCGCAAACAAACAGAATACAGCAGAGACTGCAGTTTACTTTGTGTCCTCCCTCATTCAACCCATCCTATTTGTCCACTAGACATCACCATATAAGCAAATAGAGTGAGACAGCCTCCTGTTCCCAAAAGCGTAAGCCGAAGGAAGGAGAGGGAGATCACACACAAAGCGCATGGAGAAGGGCAAAGTGGCAGCTGCTGGGACATATGGAAGAGAAATTCAGCGGGAGAGGGTGTAATTAAAAATCCCCGTGGTCCACAAGTCAGCAATTTCTGGATTATTAAGCTATTTAGGACAGGACAGCTGTGACTCACATGGTCCCAGAGGTCCCACTGCCAGCAAAGTTCAGTCAACAGAGATAAGCCAAACAGGTTCATTTAATGGAAGGGACACTAACACAACACCTGGCAGTCCACGAAGGCTTTGGCTGGCCAGCGGGTATTACTGGCCATCACTAATAGGGTGAGTTGAGATGCCAACACCACCCTAAGTCCAATGTGTGCTGCCACAGAATTGAGTAGTAAACACTTGAGGACGTAGAAAATGCAGCTGTATGAGTTGCTAGTCTGCTGACCTCCCTCTGAACTGAAAGAATGCCAGCAGGCATGACAGTGGGAGAAATGAAACAAGAACCAGAGGACAGTTACAAAAAGAGCTCAGTACAGGGCCAGAGAGGTGGCTCAGGGTTTATGAGCACCACTTGTTCTTGAAGAGGACCTGGGTTCAGTTCCCAGCACCTACATGGTGGCTAGCAGCTGTATAAGTAAAGGGAGTAGAGGGATCTGACGCCATCTTCTGACCACCTTGGGCTCCTGCATCTTCATGGCACACATACATACACTCAGGGGACACATACATACACATTAGAGAGCTCATTCGTGACTTCAAGGCAGGTGGTGATGATAAAAGGTACAATTGATGTTTCATTTTCTCAGAACAAACAGAAATGCCAATGGTATGCTGTCCCCACAGAATGTAATGTGAATGCCCATAAAGATACTCAAAGGCAAACCCATGTTTACAGTGCTTCCTACACTCCAGTTCATTCAGAGACATAAGAAAACCCTCAACCCAGGATCCCAAGAGGAAACCATGTTCCACATGCATGGTATAAGTCTCAAAGATTGCAATTTTACACAAGCAAAAGTACACGGGGTTAACAGGCAGTACAATAGGAGTATGTGAAATGGGCAAAGTAACAAAGGTCAGCCATGACTGAACACCCATGTAGCATGGAAAGACCTCCAAACAATGCTGAGTAAAGAGAGAGTTGCAGGAAAGTACATAAAGAATGAGATCATTTGTAACAAAACATACACACATGCACATATGTATAAAACCTTCTACCACACATTTTCTATAGCTAGCAATCATTTTAACACATACACAAATGTGCACACACATGCACAAACATGAATGTAAATTATATATCCTCTTCTCTCAGGCTAATTACTGAATTTACTAAGGTATTTATTTATTTATTTATTTATTTATTTATTTATTTATTTATGGGACAGGGTTTCTCTGTAGCTTTGGAACCTATCCTGGCACTCACTCTGGAGAACAGGATGGCCTCGAGCTCACAGAGATCAGACTCTGCCTCCCGAGTGCTGGGATTAAAGGTGTGTGCCACCAACACCTGGACTACGGTATTTATTTTTAATGGGTAGTTTGCCAAAATCTTCTAGGTTGCTAGTGACCAGGGTTTTCTTTAGTTCCTAGGACTACAGGCCCCACACCAGGATCTTCCCATAAGGACTAACTTAGAGAGTCCAGGTACTGCAGTGCATGCCTATAATCTTAGCACTTAGGAAGTGGAGGCAGGAGAATCAGGAGTTCAAAGCCACCCTCGGCTATATAGCAAGTCCCATGGCCAGCATACATAAGTCAATGTCTCAAAAAAAAAAAAAAAAAAAAAAAAATCAAAACCAATCAACCAAAAAACTTAAAAGGGGAATTAATTCAAACATTGAATAATGTCAAAGGCAGTGTCCTTAGACTAGATTAGACATTTGGTTCCCCATTCCATCTTCCCTACAACCATTTCCTATCTACTTCTGTATACAAGATGTCCTCATACCCACAAACCACAATCATGTGCACAAACCCATAAAGCATCCCTGGTATGTCAGGCTCCCAAGAAGCACAAAAAGGGACTATAGCTGAACAGTCTCTTTGACATTAGGGAACATTTCACAGAAATCCAAAAGCAAAGCCATCCTAAAGAAGAAAGAACCTCAGACTCAGGGCAGACATTCTTTCACCACAGCTGTCCAGACCGGCATCTGCAGGCAAGCACTTACCCCCATAACTCTGCCTCGCTGCTCCACGTCTTCCCACATAAAATGGACTATGATCCGGCACATGTATTTTCCAGACCGGCCTTCCTGCTTCATTCGGACTAGACACATCCTAAGTGGAAGCAAAAAGAGTCACTGAATAACTGCATTTTTTTTTTCACACAGTTCACAGAAAAGAGATTTTAGCACAGCATATGGAATCAAAATTCAGGAGTGACCTTGGGTCTTTAACACAGTCACAGTTTAAAAAACAAATGTCCATCTGTGCAGTGAAAAAAACTTGCGCTGGGCAGTGGTGATACAAGAGCACTTGGGAGGCAGAGGCAGGAGGATCTCTGTGAGTTCTAGGACAGCCTGGTCTACAGAGTGAGTCCCAGGACAGCTAGGGCTACACAGAGAAACCCTGTCTCAAAAAATTACCAAAAGAAAGAAGAAAAAAGAAAAAACTTGCATATTACATATGATAATGAAAGCACCATTGAACCAGGGATACCTCAAAAGCCTCCTTCCCACATGGAATAAATCCTATGTGGTTATTAGAAAGACAATCAAGCAGAATTCTCCACTCAACTGGGGAAAATATTTGTTCACTACTACAGAATTTTCTAAATGTGGGTAAAGAATTTCCTGTCTCGTATAGTAGCTACTAGCTACTTGTGGCTACTGAGCACTTTAAGTATAGCTACTCCAAGGATTTCAAAGATATAGTAAGAAAAAGAATCACATTTTAAATATTGCTGTCACATTGAATATTATTTCATATAAGTTTAAATAAAATCTATCATTGAATTAATTTCAGGGGCTGGAAGATGGCTCAGTGAAGAATGGAGTTAGAATCCCAGCACCCATAAAAAGACACGTATGGTTGGGCATGGCTGTAACTGTACCACTGGGGGTTGGAGACAGGTGGCTCCCAAGAGCTCCCTGGTCAGGCAGCTTAGCCCAAACAGTGAGCTTCAGGCCCAGAGCAATAGGAACCCAACACCTTCCTCTGGTCTCCCATAGTACCTGTACCTGAGCATTCATTTGCATGCACCCCCTACAGCCACACCCTCCACATGCCCCACACATTAAAAAACCACCTTTCTTTTCAAAACCACTCTCATTTCTTTTTACTTTAAAAATGTAACTCCATATGTAGAAAATTTTCAATTATATTTGTGGCTTGCATTCTACTTTTCTTGGCCAATATTTGTTCAGTATACAGATCACTGAGAATATTATGATCACATTTTTATAATTATCAAATTGTTCTCCCACTAGATGTAAATTCCATTGAAGGCAAAGATCAAGTTTGTTTTTGTTTGTTGTTGCTTTGTTTTGAGACAGTGTCTCAGTATGTAGCCCTGGCTGTCCTGGAACTCACTCTGTAGACCAGGCTGGCCTCAAACTCAAGAGATCCACCTGCCTCTGCCTCCCGAGTGCTGGACTATAAAGGTGGACATCATCACACCAGGCAAGAATTATGTAATTTTGTTTTGCTTTGTTTTTCAAGATAGGGTTTTTCTTTATTGCTTTGGAGGCTGTCTTGGAACTCACTCTGTAGACCAGGCTGACCTCAAACTCTCAAAGCCTCTGCCTCCTGAGTGCTGGATTAAAGGCATGTGCCACCAATGTCGGGCTGTAATTTTTATTAATTTAAACATATATTTAGGGGCAGGAGAGATGGCTCAATGGTTAAGAGCACTGGCTGCTCTTCCAGGAGACCCAAATTCGGTTCTCAAGCACCCAATCAGGTGGCCCAGGGGTACCCCAGGCTTCTGGCCTCCTCATATACCAACACTCACATGCACAAACCCACACATGCATGTATTTAATTATACAAAAGAATATAATCAAGGTTACTAACTTTTCAAAGTAGTTCCTAATATTCTTATGACCATACTAATTTCTAATGTCTTGAACTAGGTATTAAATGACTGCAACAGACTAGTCAGCTGAAAGACAATCCCTGCTATAATTTCAGAATGCTATAATTTATCTAAATTGACAAGTCTATCTCCATACAAAAGCTGCCCATTAAAATCAACTAAAAGGGGGCTGAGGAGATGGCTCAGGAGTTAAGTGCATGCCTGTGGGGATCTGAGGATGTACTGAGTGGATAAATTTTGACACAGGAATGTCCACATCTCCAGAATGCCCAAAGCCACAGACCCATGAGACCATTGGTAAAGCTGTTACCAGTATGAACAGGCTCAAGAGAAATGGCAGAGCTGTTCTTGAGAGTCAAAGCATAGATGGCTATTGGTATTGCACAAAGATTAGCAACTGCAACTTCTTCCTCCTGAACACCCCGAAACTGCTCTACTATAGAGACCTCCTACTGAGACTAGCTAACCCCTTCCCGGGTGCTGTACCTGATAAACACACTGATGTTCTAGGTTGTGGAGGTAGCAGTTGCATTAGAGAAGCCCGCCTGATCCCAACTTCACTGTACAAGTGTCTGTCTGTTCTTCATTCCCTTACTGCCACTAGTAGCATGCATGCACTGCCATTGCAGAGAACCCAAAGTCAGCTCATAGCTCCAACAGCAGGGGCTCACAGTGGCCTGTAACTGTAGCACCAAGGGATCTCATACCCTCTTCTGGCCTCCTTGAACACCCACACACATTTACATAAGTAAAAATAAATCTTTAAAAAGAAAACTAGTCACAAGCAGTGGCATCTGCCTCTAGTCCCAGCAGAGGATCTCTGTAAAGGCCAGCCTGGTCCACATATCAAGATCCTGCCTAAAAAAAAAAAAAAAAAAAAAAAAAAAAGAGAGAAAAAGAAGAAGAGGGAGGGAGGAGAGAGAGAGAGAGAGAGAGAGAGAGAGAGAGAGAGAGAGAGAGAGAGAGAGAGAGAGAGCGAGAGAGAGTGCAGGTTCATGCTTAGAGCAGGCTATAGGGGGCACACATAAACAAATTCCAGTACGCAGGAGACAAGAAAATTGCAAATTCAAGGCCAGCCTGAACTACAGAGCAAGACCCTGTCTCACTATGCTGCTCTGTAAAAGAAAAATCCACAAGCAACAATGGAATGATTCCAATCTGACTTGCCTCAACATCTCTATGAATGACTAAATTGGAAAAAGAAAACACACTTATCAAATGGGCAGATGACAAGCTGGGCAAGAGAACAAATATGCTACATGACCCAACCATGACCCAAAAATATCTCCACAAGTCTGTCTCAATGGGATGCACCTTACAAGAATCTGAATGGGGGTGGAGAGGTGGGGAAGGTTCTGTACTTGAGTCTAGTGGCTAAAACTCCAGAGGTCCAGAATACATGAATGACACCTACCAATGTAAAAAAGCCTTTAAAAATGAAGATAATAGAACACACTCAGTGCAAGTCAAAAGAATAATGATGCTGACCCCAAATTAATGTTCTAGATACAATTGAAATATGCCCTCAATGGCAAAGTGAGACTCCAAATCTGCTTGGAATAGCATCTACTAATTCTAATTTTGAACATCATTATCTGAAGAGGTGAGGTTACAGTTCTGTTCTACTGCACAGCAATGAGACTACAATAACAATAATGAAATATACTTGAGAATGGCCAGAAGAGAGGATTTTAACTATTCTCACTCCACAGAAATAATATGAGATGATGGCCCTGGTTTGATTATAACACAATGTACACATGTGTCAAAATATTGTATAATTTATAAATATGTATAATGATGGGCCAATTAAAATTAAGAAGATGAGGAAGAGAAAAAAGATGAGTGAGCAGGCTGGCAAGGTGGAAAAGGCAATTGCCACCTAATCCTGGTGGCACATCCAGCAGCAAGTATCTAAAGATTTAAGTAACTGGATGGACAACTTCAAAATGCAGAAAACTAGCTTTTTCACATAAGGAGAACAGATGTTTGGTGTAGATGAAGCTTTTTCATTATTATTTATAGGCAGTGTGGGCAGCCCAAGTTGAGTGCTGGGAACCAAATTCAGCTCCTACAAAAAAGCAGTGCCTCCCTTAACCACTGAGCACCTCCGTACCCTGAGCAGTTCCTCCCGTAAGCACCGAGCATCTCTGGAGCCTGAGCATGCAGCTTTCTAACTAAAGGTTCACTACTAATCTCAAGTGGATTTGTTGGTATTTTCATTCTAATTTTTAGCCTCTGAACCCAGTTCATACCAAAAATATAAGACTTTGAGACAATAATGAAGACCGCATGATAATATACAATAGGGAGCATATTTCAAAGTAGAAATGCACTGAGTTAAGTTCAACAGCACTTTCTTTATAAGACTTTTCTAAAAGTTAGTCAAATTGTTCTTGTCAGCCTTTCACCTGAAAATGTGCAATGTGTTTTGATGCTTAAGTGTCATAGGAGGCCAATTCATCAACAGCAATAGTGAGGTAATGGAATTCTTCATTTATTTGAAAATTCTGTTAATACACCTGCCCTCTGGGGTTTAAAAGGCACAGATTTTTTCAGACCATAAACTTTCTAACTATATCAACATGCGGTGAGGTGTTGTTTGGGGTTTCACAGCACAGCTTGTTCTATAGGCATTATAAGATAATGGTTAGCAATGACATTCTATGCTGGAGAGAATGTGGAGAAAAAGGAACATTCCTCCATTGCTGGTGGAAGTGCAAACTTGTACGCCCACTTTGGAAATCAGTATGGCAGTTTCTCAGGAAAATCGGAATCAGTCTACCTCAATATCCAGCAATTACTCTCTTGGGCATATACCCAAATAATGCATGTTCATACAACAAGGACATATGTTCAACTTTTTTCCTAGAAGTGTTGTTTGTAATAGCCAGAACCTGGAAGCAACCTAGATGCCCCTCAACTGAAGAATGGATAGAGAAAATGTGGTACATTTACACAATGGAGTACTACTCAGTGGAAAAAAGCAATGGAATCTTGAAACTCGCAGGAAAATGGATGGAACTAGAAGAGTTACCATCCTGAGTGAGGTAATCTAGTCACAAAAAGACAAACATGGTATGTACTCACTCATATATGAATTTTAGACATAGAGCAAAAGATTACTAGCCTACAATCCACATCACCAAAGGAATTAGAAAACAGGAGGACCCAAGAGAAGAATGCATGGCCTCCCGGAGAAGGGGAAGGGGACAGGATCTCCTGAGCTAATTGGGAGCAT